AACCCCCCCCCCCCGAAAATAAGCCCCCCATATCTGAGATACAAAAAGCCTTCCTCCCTCCCCCGTGAAGAGGAAGAAATCTAAATCATGTATTATATGGCCATAAAACACGGCAGGGATTTGAAATTAAAACAAAAAAAAATTAGAAAAAAACATATGGCAGGCGAATCTTTCTGCACTTCTCGAGTGTTCTCAAATGCTCGGAGTGTTTCATGGCAGTATAATGTACAGAGTTCAAGCTTTCTTTAACCATCATAGAGTATTTTCGTATCAGCTAAAATGGGAAAATCACTCCAAATAACAATATGGGATTTTAATGAATCAACAAGCCTTCTACATCTCAAGACGTCACATAAATAGGTGGCACAATTCCCCCTTAAGGAACACGTTTCATCCACAAAGGAGGAAAGGGACAGAAGGTGCTGAACTTCCACATCCCATATGGCTTTTACTCCCAGATCGCACCCCTTCCTACGTACCTGCAAGCAAGCTCTCATGCGCTGCAGAACAAGTCACACCTCTCACTGGCACTCTTAGCGTGCATGCTCGTCTATTGTGACTTCGCCTTTGGTTGCGCTGCAGCACATAAGAGCCTGCACACAGGCCACTTTTTTATGGTTCGAATTTCTTTGTGGTTTCTTCATAGTTGCATAACATTATTGCAAAAGCTTTCCTTTTCTATTATGGTTCCTGTCACCTTGGGAATCTCACTTCCTACCCTCTCTCCTAACTTCCATAGTATAGAGTTCCTTCCCCATTCACTTCTGGGTTCCTTCCCCTTCTAACCCAAAAACATGTTCATTTATGTAATTCTTGTCACAATACAAGACAAAAGCAAAAAAATTGTGTCACAAAAAGATCTCTCACTGATACAAATATGGTTACATCAGGCAGGCACTGTGTAAATTGGCCAGCTGTGAGGATGATTTTGCCCGTCTGGTTTGACCATCTAGTGGAAAGTTTCTCTCACAAAACAAGTTCAATTCAAATAGTTTTCCCCGCCTGTGAAAACCCCTGGGTTACATAATTTGATTTGTATGTTTGAGTCAGTAATGTTCCTTTTTATGGATGGCTTCTTTTGTTATTGTGTATAAAAAAGTTCTCGAGGAAAAGGTTGTTGTTATTCATCGTGGTAGATGCAATAATAAAGTGTATTATCATTTGTCTCACGA